ACAGTGCATCTCAGAGTGAAAATTCACTGTTTAATAGTCACATCAGACCTATTGTTGAGTACAAAGTATCTGTTTGTAATGCAGGACTTACCAAAGAGCATGCGAACATGTTTCAAAGAGTTCAGAAGAAGCTCTGAAGCTACTCTGATATAATTAGCCAACTGAATGTGTATTCCCTTGCTAAAAGTCAGGAAAGGTCTATCTGGGCTTTAAAAATCTCCAGAATCCCAATGGCACTGTCTCTTGCCACATGAAAGAATATGTGTGTTGCAATTAAGGAGAAAAGATGCCATTCCTCAAATGAAATATCGAAGAAACAGACCACAAGACAGCTCAACACCCCTATTTTATAATTAATAAATTGACTGATTGAGGATTAATTTAACTCAACCTGACAATATCTGATCTGTGGACTTTAAAACAAAATTCAGAACATAGGAGACCTTTCACCTCTATTCTGTAAATTAAAAAGAACTGTATTTGCTGAATACTACACTATCAACATCTTGGGGGTTCCTACTGAATGAAACAAAACTGCACAAGCCATATAAATACAAACAAGAACATACGAACAAGGAACTCAGCAGGCCTGGCAGCATCAATGCAGTGAGAAACAGAGTTAAAGTGAGTCCAATATGATGCTTCTTTGGAACTGAAGGGGGCTGGAAAATGATGGGTTTTTTTTGATGACAGAGAGGGAGGAGGAGTGTAGAATGCTATGTTATGTTATGTTGGGCGGCATGGTGGCCCAGTGGCTAGCACTGCTGCCTCACAGCAACAGGGACCCAAGTTCAATTTCAGCCTTGGGCGACCTTCTGTGTGGAGTTTACACATTCTCCCCATTTCCGCTGGGTGCTTCGGATTCCTCCCACAGTTCAAAGGTGTGTGGTTAGTGGATCGGCCATGCTAAATTTCCCGTAGTGTCCAGGTTAGGTGGATTAGCCATGGGAAATGAAGGGTTACAGGGATGGGATAGGATAGGGTTATGGGGTGGCGGTGAGTTGGTGTAGGCTTGTTGGGCCAAATGGCCTGTTTCCACACTGTAGGGAGGTAAGTGGAACAGCTGGTGAGGGTGTCCACTGCAAAAGGCACAGAGAATGTTAATGGCTGTAGAGGAGCATATATGGATGGATCCTAGGTATTAATGGTGGAAATTAGTAGCAAAAAATAGGTGATCTCTCCAAAAGCAAGCCTATTTAAACAAGACACTGAAAGGAGGAAAGGGATGTAACCAAAATGGAGAACAGTGCTCATGCTCTGATGTTGTTGAACTCAGTACTGAGTCCTGAAGGCTGAAAAGTGCTTAGGTGGAAATTGAGGTAGTGTTCCTTTGGCTTTGCTGGAGCACTACAGGCCCAGGACAGAAATGACCCTAATCCTAACCCTTTCAGAGCCATATAAATACTGCAACTACAAAATCAGATCCGAGGCTGGGAATTCTGTGGCGAATAATTTACTTCTTGGTTCCCTAAAAGCCTGTCCACCACCTACAATGCATAAAGCAGGAATGTTGTGCAACACTTTCCACTTGCCTGGCTGAATATGACTTCAACTGCACTGAAGAAGCTTCAGAATTTTGTTGAGTTCCATGGATTTCTCTCCTTGAGGCCCTCGCAGGTTTTCACGCACTACTGTTCCAAACTCGCCTCATTAACTACTTAACAGCCCTAAAGTGCCTCTCACGTCTGATGTTAGCTTGATTCTATCACTTGTACCCAGAAGAACTCACCACTGCCTCGATATCCCAGAATAGACCAGCAGCCCTGGCACCCGCACCATCTTTAAAAGGCCATTGTGCATCTGGAAAAGCACCAGCAGGAATTGCACCATACAGTTTGCGCCATCTGGTTTGGCAGATAAGGGGAAATTGGTGCCCTGCTCTGCAGACAGATACCTAGAGGTCCTGGTCAATGGGGTTGGCCATCCTTTACCCCTTGGTCTGAGTGAGGAGGCCATCCCATTAGACCCTGACAGCCTGGACTGAGGTTGCCACCTGAATTGGCATGTTCTCACCTGTCTTGAAGAATGCTCAGCAGCGAAGGAAGAAGCTCAATGACATTATCCACTTAGCCAGGGTAAGAGCTCCTCTCTGATACTTCATACACATACTATCTCTGCTACTGCACCCACCTTCCACCAAGGCTGTACCCCACTCATTATTACATGCAACATCTTCCTTCATTCACTCTCACCTGCCCCAAACCCAAGTAGACGGGGAGAAATTGTTTGCATTGTGAAAGGATCAAGACCCAGGGGCCACTGATTTAAAGTGATTTGCATAACAAGTGAATGCAAAGTGAGAACATGCTTTTCGCACAGAGAGTAGTTAGGATATGGAATGCACTGTCTAGAAATGGTGGTGGAAGCATGTTCAGTTGAAGCATTCAAGAGGGCATTGGATGAAATTTTGACTTGAAATAATGTGTATAAGTATGGGGAAACACAAGAAATTAGTAGTAGGTAATGATGCTCATTTGAAGAATCAGACAGACACGATAGGTCAAATGGCTACACAGGCACAGGCACCCAATGTGCAGAATGGACCATGCTCACAGACCATCACTGCCTTGCCTTTATTGCACTCCCTGCCCGAACCAGACCTACCAGGCTCACAGTACCTCTGTCTTGTCTTGCTGTTTAGTGCTGGCATAAAGACAGGAAGATTGTCATGGTTGTCAGCAGCCCTCAGCCAGATCAAAGGAGACAGCCTTCAGCAGGGGGTCTCGGCACAGTAAGTTAATGGTAACCTCGAATATCAGTCTAGAGGCTTGGGTACCGTCAGTCACCACTTGCCAAAATCATAGAATTGGGGAAGTGTTATGATGCAGACAAGGGCCATTGGGCCCATCGTGCCTGCCCTGACATTATATTACATAATATGGGAAAATGTGAGGTAATGCACTTTGGCAGGAAAAATAGAGGAAGTGAATATTATTCAAATGGAGAAATATTGCAAAAAGCCACAGAATAGAGGGAGTTGGAAGTCCTTGTGAAGAAATCACAAAAAGCTAGCAAAGAAGTTCAGCAGATAATAGGTAATGCAAATGGAATGTTGGTCTTTATTTCAAAAGGGCTGGGGTATAAAAATAGGGAAGTCATGTTAAAATTAAACAAGGCACTAGTCAGACCACAGCTGAAATACTGTGAACAATTTTGGGCCAATTATCTAAGAAAAGATATACTGGCAATGGGATGTTGGTCTTTATTTCAAAAGGGCGAGGGTATAAAAATAGGGAAATGTTGCTCAAACTATACAAGACACTAGTCAGACCACAAAAAGAACAACAAAAACAGACGTTGTAGGAAAAGCTCAGCAGGTCTGGCAGCATCTGTGAAGAAAAATCAATTAACGTTTCAGGTCTAGTTTCCCTTCCTCAGATCACAGTTGGAACACTGAACAATTTTGGGTCAGTTCTATAGGCAGCAGGAGTTGTTGAGCGAAAGTTCACTAGGCTAAGACTGGTTTTGGAAGGACTATCTTGGGAGGAGAGCTTGAGTAGATTGGGCCTGTACTCTTTAGAGTTAAAGAATGAGAGACAAATTTGTTAAAATAAACCAGTTTTTTAGGTGACAAAGAGGTTTTCTTTTCTCCTCATGGGAGAGTCTAGGACCAGAGGGCATAATCTCAGAGTAAGGGGTCACATAATTTAAGAGCGAGAAGAGGAGAAATTTATTCACTCAGAGGGTAGTGAATCTGTGGAATTATTTACCACAGGGGACTGTAGTGGCTGGGTCATTAAGTATCTTTAAGGCTGAGATGACAGATTTTCTAATTAGTAAGAGAATCAAGGGTTATAGGGAAAAGTTGAAGATTATCAGTCCAGCCATGACTCTGTGATAACCCCTACGAGGGAATCACTAATCAATGGCCTGGTGGAGGTCACTGAGTATGAGTCCCATTGGTAGGTAATGGCCTGCCCAGCAGGAATTCATCACCTGAGCCTTTTATACAGTAGACTCGGGTATGGGCCTGCAGAGCTTCTTTTCTTATTCATTGGATGAGGGTGTCACTGCCTAGGTCAGCGTTTATTGCCCATCCCTAATTACCCAGAGTGCAGTTAAGACAGGGCCAGGAGTCATATGTAGGCCAGACCAGGTAGGAATGGCGGTTTCCTTCCTTAAGGACACTAGTGAACCAGATGGGCCTTAATTCCATGTTTATTGAATTCAAATTCCACCATCTGCTATGGCAGGGTTTGAACCCTGATCTGTGGAACGTTATCTGGGTCTTTGGATTAACAGTCCAGCAATAATGCCACTTGGTCATTGCCTCCCTGTGACTCTAAAACTAAGACTATATAACTGTCTATGTGGACCAAGAGTAGCCTATGCATGCCATGAGTAGAGCTTTAATTTGGTATTCAGCAATAAAGAATGTTACTTTCTAGCCATGCTTCCTGAGTTATTACAATCCCACTGAATGGTGGAGCAGCTTTGATGGGCTGAACAGCCTGCTTCTGCTAATAAATCTTATGGTCTCATGAGGTCATTTGGGTGAATGAAATAGATTCGTGGGGAGTTAGCTCTGCCTAATATTTATCCCTCGATTGACATCGCAATAACCACATTGGTTACTATCATGGGCTAACAAGGTGTAGAGCTGGATGAACACAGCAGGCCAAGCAGCATCAGAGGAGCAGAAAAGCTGAAGTTTCGGGTCTCTTGGTTACTATCGTATTGCTCTTTGTGGGATCTTGCTGTGCGCAAAACTGCCTGCAGTGTCACTCTCCTTTCTAACAAGTGATTGCACATCCAAGGTACTTAATCGGCTGCAAAGCACGCTCAAATGTCGGTGGCTGTGAAAAACACCGTTTCAAAACTGGTCTTGCCGTAGGAAGAATTCACTCACACTAATAATCTGCCTGGCAACAATGCACCATTCAGAATCAAGAGGTACGGTAACTGACAGGCCGACTAGCCAATGGAAGGGAGGAGCAGGCATGTGGGTGGGGATCATGTGATGCTGCGTCTTATGACTGAGCTCTCAAGGGCAGGGAGACTTTTGCGAGTTCCTGGAAGTGGTGTATGTGGAGTTGGATTTGGGTTGGGGATGTTGTTGGCTCCGATCGCTGTGTTGTTTCTCCCTTGGCTGGAGTCCGCACTCAGCCTGGGGCTCGGAGGTAAGAAGTTGCGGGCAGAGACTGTCAGTGAGCCCTGAGGAACTCACACGGGGAGAGAGAATGAATGATAGAGTAGTTCTGAGGAAGGGTCACCGGACCTGAAACGTTAACTCTGTTTTCTCCTTCACAGATGTTGCCAGGCCTGCTGAGCTTTTCCAGCAACTTTGTTTTTGTTCCTGATTTACAGTATCCGCAGTTCTTTTGGTTTTTATTGAATGACAGTATGTTGGGCTGGATTGGGGACGGTGAGAACAGTGGGCTGGGAGGATGAGGATATGGGGCTAGTAGGGGTCGAAGAGTGTGCTGCGGAGGAGAGTTGGTGAGAGTGTACGGGAGGACAGAGGGTCTAGTTGCGGTGGGAGGGGTGCTGGATGAATGGTGGGGTTACAGAGAGAGATGGAGTGTGGTTGGGGTGTGGTGGGAGGGGAGATTGAGAGAGTGGAGTAGGAAATGGTGTAAGAGAGAGTGGGGAAGTAGAGGGCTGTATAAGGGAGGTGGGGTGAGGTATGGGTTGTAATGGAGGTGGCAGAAGGACTGTTGAGAGAGAGGGAGGTGAGTCTTGCTTCAGGGCTGGCTTAGGAGGAAGATGGAGGGAGTATGCTGTATTTGGCCAGTAGCAGGAAGATGATGAATCACTTTGAAGTAAGAGCAAGAGCTGGCCATTTGGCCCTTCAAGCCTACTCCTCCATTGGACAATTTTCTGTCTGATCTACATCATGTCTACCTTCCTACACTATGCCCTTTAATGTCCAAAAAAATTATCTGCATCTGTCTTGAATATTAAACTTTTCATGCAGAAGGAGGTGTGTGTATGGAATGAGCTGCCAGTGGAAGTAGTGGAGGTGGGTATGACTACAACATTTAAAGGGTATCTAGGTGGGTATATGAATAGGAAGGGTTTTGAGGGATATGGACCAAATGCTGGCAAATGGGACGAGATTAGTTTACGATAGCTGCATGGATGAGTTTGACTGAAGGGTCTGTTTCTGTGCTGTACAACTCTGACTATGAATTGCTGAGTATCTGCAAGCTCCTTGGGTATAGAAGTCAAAAGACACTGACTGAGGGAGTGTTGGATGAGGGTGAAGTATGGTGTGGAAGAGAAATTTAGATACTGTGACTCAGTCTAGTTCATTGATCTACTTCTGCTTAATTGGGTAGCTGCAGTTTCTGGATTTTAACCATGGTCACCATTGCGGTTTCTTTTGAGTGCTTATGTTTGAAGACCAAACCTCGATAGGCAATCTGGATCTCTCGCCTTGGGCAACTTTCTAGCTTTATCAAAAGCAAAACAACAGCAAATTCAGGTCAGGTAACATCTGTGGGGAGAAATAGAGTTAATGCCTTTATATTGAGACGCCCTTCGATCGGAACAGACTCGCAAGCGCCTTTTGCATCTTTTTCTGCTGGTTTGTGAGCAAATTGGAGTTAAGATCTGTGGTCAGCAATTTGTATTGTCCACAACTGCAAAATGATTATGATGCATTGGGGTAGTGCACTGTAAATTGACCTCCCTTTATTTCCAGAGTTGTTGAATGTTAACGTTTCTTAGGAGGGATGCATGGTGCCCCATTACATGCTTTCCACACCAGGGCTGATAGACAGTATGGGCCAAGTTTCTGTACTTAACAAGAAATTATTAATTGTAGATGATTTAGACTATAGCCACAAGTAAACAAAACACACCTAACCAAAGCTTTAATTCCTTAAAATGCCCCTTATATACACACTCAGACACATATATGCCCTACCCAAAAAAAACAGGGAAATTGTTATTGGCAAAGGTTGAAAAAAGCCAGTTCAGTCATCTTTGCTTGCCTAATCTGATGTTGAGATGATCCTCCAGCTAGTCAGGCCAATGATGTTTGGTTGTCTTTCTCTGGAAGCTTCAAGTTTTACAAGAAAAGTGACTGATTGCCTTGAGAAAATATCTCTGATTTACCATTTTGAAAAGCAGCAACTGCTGCAGGGAAGGTAATTGGTTTTCTTCACACTTGAACTGAGTTTTTTTTCTGTCTTTTTACTAAAGAATAGGCAGCTTCTGCTGGGGATAACAGCACCACTTCTGTGTCTTTGTATCTGCATCTCTATCTGTCTGGTTTCCACATCTAACCTGCTGAGTTAGCTGAGAAACAATCAGCAACACTTGTAAACAGGGATGAAAGATAATTGCGGGTGTATGGAAAAATTGAAAGTTGGGGTTTAAAATCAGATCAGCCAAGATTTATTGAATGACATAGGCTTGAGCAGCTTTTTGTTCTTTGCTCACAAACAACTGTTTGACTCCTTAATGTCTGAATATCACAGAAACCCAGAGCCACAAAACAGATTGTGGCATGGTGGCTCAGTGGTTAGCACTGCTGCCTCACAGCGCCAGGCACACGGGTTTGATTCTACCCTCTGGTGACTCTGTGGAGTTTGCACGTTCTCCCCATGTCTGCATGGGTTTCCTCCCACAGTCCAAAGATGTGCAGGTTAGGTGGATTGGCCGTGCTAAATTGCCCGTAGTATTCAGGGATGCCTAGATAAGGTGGGTTAAAGGGGGATGGGTCGGTGTGGACTTGTTGGGCCAAAGGGTTTGTTTCCACACTGTAGGGATTCTATGGTCTGTCACATTGGATATCAAATTCCTTGCTGTGGAAAAAGTGTGGCCATCCTTATAAATCCCTTTTTGTTGTTTTTAAAAATTCTTTCACATTGCAATCCAGATTTTAGACAAGAATAAGAAGCCTTACAGGATTGAATCCTTTTTTCCAAAGAAGTCCTACCAGACTCCATGTTAACTATATTTCTTTTTCCTCAGATGCTGGCAACCTGCTGAGTTCCTCAAGTATGTTCTGTTTTTGTCACGCCCAGAGCAGTAATGAGGGAATCACTGTGGAAGGATCTTCTCTCTCTTGAGACTACATCCTTTCTGTCCTGTTGAAGGGATCCTTTGCATCCATTGGCCACTGTCTGAAGAGGACTTGAGGATATTTACCTATCACTTGGCCATTATTTTTTTGCCCTCAATGAACATTGCTGAAACAGATTTTCTTTGTGTGGGATCATGCTCTGTGCAAATTAGCACAGATTATTAGTGCAGGAAAAGGCCATGTGGCTGTTCATGTCGTGGCACTAGTGCTCTGAGCATTTCAACTTGGTGCCAATCTCCTGCCTTTTCCCCCAATAACTTCACACAATCATCTTTATTTAACAAATCTAATACCCTCCTGAATGCCTCAGTTAAACCTGCGTCCTCCACACTTTCCAGGAGTGCATCCAGACCCTTGCTATTTGTCACAAAAGAATTCCTTTTGTCATCTTGAGTTTCTTTTGCAAAACACTTTAAAACTGCCACAGCCACAAACAAGTAACAAAAATTACTGGAAAAGCTCAGGTCTGGCAGCATTTGTGGAAAGAAATCAGTTAACATTTCAGGTCGAGTGACCCTTCCTCAGAACACTTTTTTTTTTAAAAAACTGCCATTAGTTCCCAACCCATTTGGGAACAGGAACATTTTCTTACCCCCTCAGCTCTGACCAGACCACTCATTAGAATCCCTCCAATGGAAGCAGGCCATTAGGCCCATTTTAAGTCTACACCATCTAAAGAGTATCCCATCCAGATCTACCCTCCTGCCCACCCTTTCCCTGTAACCCCTCGTTCCCCATGGCTAATCCACCTCGCCTGCACATCTTTTGGACATCACGATTGTGAAAACTTCAATCAAATCTGCTCTTAGCTGTCTTCTCTAAGGTAAGTGTTGTAACATCTCCAGATTATCCTCATTACTGAAGCATCTCATCTCTGGCACCATTCTTGTTAACCTCTTCTGCACTCTCCCCAGTGCAGTTGCATCTTTTTCCATTTACATGCTTTCTACATTTACAACAGTGACTACGCTGTCATTCTGCTTCCTTGACTGCAGAGTGATTTGAGCTTCTCAAGGTTGCAAAATGGCGTTGATTTGTTTGTTCTTGTTGGTCTTGACTTAGAATTCCCTGTTTCTCATGAGTGAAATTTTTCTGCTTGGGAGGCAGCTTCACTTTCTACGTGATTGGATGTGTCTAGCTGTGGCCTATATATTCTAGCAGAAGAAAGCATCCCAGGGTTCCTCACAGGAGCATTACCAAGCAAAAATTTGACACCAGCACATTGGAGGTATCGGGTCAAAAGCTAAAATATTGGTGAAAAGAATAGTCTTGAGAGAAGTTCTGAGGAGGGGTGAATTTCAGATCCTCCAATTCCAAGCAGGGCTGATGATGGTGAAACAGTGGAAATCGGGGAAGCTGGAGAGTCTGGAATTCAAGGAGCATGATAACTTGAATGTTTTTGTGGCTGCAGGAGTTTACAAGGATAAAGGTGAGACGTGGAGTGATGGGAAAAGGAGAATGTGAATTTTTTGAAATTATTGTTGGACAGGAGCTGGACCAAGTCCTGAGGCAGATGGATGAATGGGTGTGGTGTGAGCAGCCATTGCTGGTTCTTGGTTGCAGAGACCTTACTGTTGTCAGTATGTGACTGGGATCCTTGAGGTGTGAGGTGCTGGGATATTGCAGTGAGCTGTCATTCTACATTCTGTTTGACGTGCAAATTAACTCCTCACTGCAGGGGTAGAGAGAGGATAAAATACTGGGATTGGAGTATTTTGGGCAAACATTGGTCACCATAGGCAGAGACTGGACTGGCCATAATACTTTAGCTACAACAGCAGGTCAGAAGCTCGGAATCCTGCAGCTGACTCCCTACACCCTGTCCACCATCTACAAGGCACAAGTCAGGAGTGTGATGGAATACTCCCCACTTGCCTGGATGTGTGCAGCTCCAACAACACTCAAAGCTCAACACCATCCAGAGCAAAGCAGCCTGATTGACATCACATCCATAAATATTCTCTCCCTTCACCTGCTCAGTAGCAGTGCATAATGTCTACTAAATGTGCTGCAAAAATTCAGAGGGTCCTGAGACAGCACCTTCCAAATGCAAGACTAGCCTACTTCTGCTTCAGCATCTTCTAT